CGCAGCCAAGCGCTTTAACCACAGTGCCACCAGGGCTCCTTTCACACCCACTAAACCCAGAAAACCCAAACCCGTTGCCATTGAGTCGATTCCGACTCATAGCAATTCTATAGGACAGAAGAGAACTGCCCCATAGGGTTTCCAAGGCTGTCATCTTTACGGAGAAGGACAGCACGCTTGGTAAAGTGGAGGGTCAGCGAGAAAGAGGAAGACCCTCAACGAGATGGACTGACACAGCGGCTGCAACCGTGGGCTCGAGCGTAACAATGGTTGTGAGGATGGGGCAGGACCCGGGCTGTGTTTCCTTCTGTTCTATGACCTTTCGGCTAGTCGCCGAGCACTTAACCAGTGCACCACCAACGCTCCTAAGAGGATGAGAGTGAGTGTGTACTGTATGAGTGTACATGGTGAGAGTGTGACCATGAGTGTTTGTGTGTGTGAGTGTATGAGTGTGAGTCTGTATGTGGGTGGGTATGAGTGTGCGAGTTTCTGTGAGTGTATGTAGTGAGTGAATTGTGTGAATGTGAATGTATATGTGAGAGTGCATACGAGTGAGTAAATGTGTATGAGTGTGAACACGAGTTGAGTGTGAGTGTATGTGTGTGAGCGTAAGAGGGTGAGTGAGTGTATATGTGTGATTTTGAGGGCGAATTTATGTGTGAGAATGAGTGTATATTATGTGTGTATGAGTGTGAATGAGGGTGTAAGTGTGAATGTGTGCAAGAGTGAATTATTTATGTGTTAGCATGTGAGTGTCTATGTGTGTGAGTATAAATGTGAGTGTGCCTGAGTCTATGAGATGTAAATAGGTGTGAGTCTGAATGTGCATGGGAGGGTGAGTGTACAAATGCGTGTTGAATGAGTGAATGCGTATGCCTGTGTGTGGATGTGTGAGTGTGGGTGTAAATGTGTGAGTTTGAGTACGCAGGAGAGTGTCAATGTGTGTGAGAGAGTCTGAGTCTGATGTTGCTGGATGACAGGGTTTATGCAGTCTCTTAGCAACAACAGCAGTAACACGGATAATTCTTGGCAGTTCTGAGTTAGCTCTAGCTATTCTGTTAACCCAACCAGCCTGCGAGGCCGGCGCTGTTAGCTCCACTTTACAGATGAAGTGAGACTTGGGCTTGGCCAGAGTCCCACAGTACTACGTGAGGGAGCCTAACTCTGTAGGGCTCCAAAGTCCACCCTCACGGCTGTCACTTCTGGGCCTGCCCAGGGCCTCCTTCCCTCCACCCCCAGGCTGCTGGCGGGGTTGAGGGCTTGTGTGGAGACGGTAACTACAGAGGACACACACACATATGTAGACGCTATTGTCCAAGCTGCTTGCAGTGAACAGGCCCTGTGGTGCCCTGGCTTGCTGTGTGTGGGAGGAGCTGACACCTGGGAAGATTAGGCCCAGATCCGCCTCCACCCCAGACCTCCGCCTCCACCCCCCCCACCCCCCCACCCACCCCCCCGTGCCTGGCACTTGGAGGGACTCTTGTCTCCTCCCTCTGGCTCTGTGAGGCTCCTCTTGGGGCAAAAGGACTGGTGGCCCAGGCCTTTACTCATGAAAGTGTGACCCAGCCCAGGACTCTGGGCGACATTCAGGCCAAGGGGTAGCCTTGCCCAGGGCGAACCGTGGGCATTGCCCCAGCCTCGGTAACAGCTGACGGTACACCCCAGAAATCTCCATTTGTCACCCCTCCTACCTTCATTGTTCAAATGCCCCCTGGGCTCTGAGGCCCTCGCTGACTGCCCTCCTAGCTGGCTTCCCGGGTACTTCTCACTTCCATCAGGCATCGGCTGGATTCGTCCGTGCATCCCTGGCACCTGGCACACCGTAGGCGCTCCGTACATTTTTGTTAAACAGACAAGAAACCTCCTTGCCTGCCAGCACCCTGTTTGGGAGCCAGGAGACCTGTGCCAACTCCCGTCCCATCTGTCTGAGTGGTAGGCACGAGCTGCCCCCTGGGCTCCTTTTGGGCCCTGTTGGGACCCTCCTTGGCCCAAGAGGGTCGTCTTTGCTGCATAAAATGCCAGAGGAGGCTCCAGCCAGGCCGCCTGCCACGGGGCTCCACACGGTCTATGGGAGGCCGCTGGGTACTGGTGGGCGGGCGTCTTATCTGAGACGTGCAGGCTGGGAGGCCCCGCAGAGGGGTAGGCACTTGAATCAGCTAGCCACCTGGTGGAGACCTTTTCTTGGTCTGTCGTCCTGGAGTGTGGACACTGCCACCGGGCAGCGAAGGTTCCTGGGGGCCAGCCCAGTGTGAGTGCTCCGTGAGGCCCTGCTGGGCCGCTGCCCCAGGAAGAGTCTAAAGAGGCTTTCCCATGGACCCCCAGCCCCCAGGGAAGCAGGGCCACGTCTCTCCAGCCAGCCGGCCAGCTCCAGGGCAGACGGACCAGGCGGCTGCCATCCACCTGCTTCTCCTCCTGGGTCCCCTCCCCCCACGGTCCCGTGCCAGGAGCCCCCTCGCTACGGAGCTTCTTCCACTTCCTCCCACTTCCTGAGAAGGGGACCAGAGGGAGCTGGACACTCAGATCCTGGCAGTGGGGTGGCTGGTGGGTGCAGGCGGGTAAGCAAGTGGGCCGACTGGCTTGTCCAAGCCCCAGAGCGGGGAGCTGGCAGCTGGGGAGGACCAGACCTGCCAGGTAGGGTGGCCTGGCAGGTCCCTTTGCCCACCCTGAGACCTGGCCTGGGCAGGGTGGACACCAAGGCCCCAGTGGAGAATTGCAGGGCGCCCCGTAGCGGGGAGGCCAGGGCTGCCTGATGCTTCAGCTATTGTGGGTGAGCTGGGGGTCCCTGGAGGCATCCTAGTACCTTCTCCCCATCCTGCATTATCAGAGGTGAGGAGAGGCAGGTGGTGGGTTCCCTGGTGGGGCAGAGCACTGGCCTTGGGGGACACCAGGTCAGGGCCTGGGAGGCAGGTGGCTAGAGTGACCTGTGTGAGAGTGTGTGTGTGTGTGTCTGTGAGCCCAGCACAGCTTAGCAAGAGCAGGGCAGGGCTTGGCCTCAGCCATCTGCCTCCTGTTTACTCTGCCTGGTGTCTGTGGGGGTGGGGGTGGTGCCATGGAGTGGGTGGGGGGCAGGAAGAAAAGCCTGTTCCGCCCCCATGTCAGTGGGAGCAGAACGCACCCACCCTTGTGAGTGTGGTAAGGCCTCCAGCTTTCCATGGCATGCTCCCTTTTCTTGGCCTGTGTCTATCTCCCCCATGGGGTTGAGCTTCCTGAGGGTGGAGCTGTGTTCCCCACCTCAGGCATGAGCCCTGGCATGTGAGCGCCCGCTGGGGTGTGTGGACTGAGTGACCTAATTACAGAGCTGGTCTTTGTTCACAGCTGCCTCCCAGATGTGACTTTTTACATATAAAAAGTCCACCCCTGCCCTTTTGGTGGCCAGCGGGTATCCCTGGCACAAAGGGGCTCTGTGATACCATGGCTCAGAGCGTGGACTCAAGCTAGACATTGGGGTTCAAATCCTGGCCCTTGGGCCAGGTGTGTCACCCAAGCCTTGGTTTCCTCACCTGAAACTGGGGTGGTAGTAGCACCTGCCTCCCAGGTTTGGGGGTTAATGAGATAATAGGAGCAAAGCAGAAGATGCCAGGGGCTTGGAGGGTGTCGGCCGGGGTGGTTGCTGTGGCTTTGCTTGCCCAGTGTAGCCCCCTGTTGGGGGTGTGGGGCTAGGAGGAAGGCAGCTGACATTTGTCAACTGTCTCCGCGTGTGGTTCCTGAGCACACACCTCTGGGAAGTAGGCGTATCCTCTCAGTGTGCTTAGCAGGTGGGGAATGAGCCAGGCGCCAGGGCCGAGCCCCTTCCAAGGCCCAGGCTCGCTCTTTTTTTTTTTTTTTAAATTGTACTTTAGATGAACGTTTATAGAACAAATAGTTCCTTATTAAACAGGACACATACTGTTTTATGACAATGGTTAACAACCCCACGACATGTCAACACTGTCCCTTCTCAACCTTGGGTTCCCTATTACCAGCTCTCCCGTCCCCTCCTGCCTTCTAGTCCTTGTCCCTGGACTGTTGTGCCCCATTAGTCTCGTTTTGTTTTATGGGGCTGTCTAATCTCTGGCTGAACAGTGAACCTTGGGAGTGACTTCATTACTGAGCTAAAAGGGTGTCTGGGGGCCATACTCTCAAAGTTTCTCCAGTCTCTGTCAGGCCAGTAAGTCTGGTCTTTTTTTTGTGAGTTAGAATTTTGTTCTACATTTTTCTCCAGCTCTGCCCAGGACCCTCTGTTGTGATCCCTGTCAGAGCAGTCGGTGGGGGTAGCCGGGCACCATCTAGTTGTACTCGACTCAGTCTGGTGGAGGCCGTGGTAGTTGTGATCCATTAGTCCTTTGGACTAGTCTTTCCCTTGTATCTTGTTTTCTTCCTTCTCTCTTGCTCCTGAGGGGGTGAGAGCAGTGGAGTATCTTAGATGGCTGCTCACAGAAGCCCTGGGCTCTTTGGAGGGCAGTGGGCTTTAAGACAAACAAGATGGACTGTGGCCCACCCTCATCTGGGAGGGGTCTGGGCTCTTGTCCTATTTCCTGAAACTTCCAGAGAAAGAGTCGGGGGTGAGGGGGACTTGTTGTCCCTTCACTAATTCCTTCCACAAATACTGAGTGCCTCCTGCTCTGAGCACTGGGGACACGGTGGTGACGAGACAGTCCCAGCTCTCGTGGGGCATCCGCTCCGGGGTCTATCGTTACAAGCTGACTGTGAACCCTCGTGGGGAGCAGGCCATGCGGCCCAGCCCAGGACTGGCATCCAGGGTGCAGGATGCTAGCACCTGGAGTTGGCAGAAGGTCTGCATGAGGGCTGAGTCCAGCTTTGAGCCGACGTCCAGGGACTCGGAGCTGTGGACGCAGGAATGCCTTTTTCATACCCAGCACACACCACAGGCCTGCATTTGGGAGGTTAGGGCAAGGGAGAGATTCGGGGTGAGAATTGAAAACCGAGCCCAGACTCTGCCTGGGGCCTCCCTGAGCCTTTTATCTCGTCTGTCAAACGAACGTGGTTATTCCTGCCCCCGTGGCTGAGGGAGGGTCTGGGGAAATGCAGGGCAGGTGGCAGCAGCTGCAGAGCAAGCTGCCTGCTGAGGGGTCTCACAAGGGGTCTTACATTGTCAAACCTGGCTACACGCTTAAAAGGCCGTGCTGCGGGAAAGCAAAACTCCAGTGAGTGCCAAATGGTTGGCTCTGAGTGTTGTTCAAGTTCATCTCCAGGGCTCCAAACATTCCTGCGAATGGAACTTCACTCAACTTTTTCCCTGAATGACATTCCTCATGTATATGGTTTCTCTGATTGACATGGGAGGGGCTGGGAGCAGAGTGATCATCAGAGTGACCCCTGCCCCACCCCTGGGAGCTTATAGAAGGGACAAGGGCCTGTGGAAGTCTGGAGAAGGTCTGATTAGCAGGGGAGGGGGCAGTCAGGGAAAGCTTCACAGAGGAAGTGACATTTGAGCTGGGCTCTGAAGGATGAATAGGAGTTTATTGGTTGGACTAGAGCAGAGAAAGGGTATTCTGGGTAGAAAAACCAAAACCAAACCCAACCCACTGCCATCAAGTTGAATCCGATTCATAGTGATCTAGAGGACAGAGTAGAACTGCCCTATAGGGTTTCCAAGGCTGTAATCTTCAGGGAGTAGACTACCACATCTTTCTTCTGCGAAGCAGCTGGTAGGTTTGAACTACTGACCTTTTGGTTAGCCTAGTGCTTAACCACTGTGCCACCAAGCCTCCATTAAGGGTAGAAGGGAGAGTATATTGTATGCGAAGGCCTAAGGTGAAAAGGGCACGGTGTTGAGGGAGCTAAGAGTGGCGTTGAGTGTGGGCAATGGGGAGCCATGGTGGGTGTTTGAGGAGGGGGTGGAGCTACCTGTTGGCTTGGACAGCTGGGGCTGGAAGCAGGTGCTCAGGCCTCATTGCACGAGGTGGGATATCAGACTGGTGGAGCAGTGGGGTTTAGGGTATGGGCTGCATGACTGGGGCACAGAGGGGGCACTTGTCCTGGGTGGGTTGGACGGGCCTGGGGTCGAATGTTGACTCCTCCCCTTGGGCAAATCACTTAGCCCCTCTCCTCTGAGCCTGGGCTTCTGCCTCTGAGAAACAGGTACAACAGTATCGCATGATGTCGCGAGCGGGGTGCTCTGAGCATTGGCTTTGCTGAGCCTCAGGCAAGTTACTCACCTTCGTGGGCCTCAGTTTCCTTATCTGTAACTCGGCCTAGAGTTGATGTGAGGTAACTTGTGTCCCACCCCTGGAGCAGGCCGGTGCTCGGTGACGGTGGTGTTTTGCTCTGTGTGTGACCTTTCTTGGCCTCGCCTGCTTTCCTCCCCACCTGCCCCCAGTCCTAGAATGGGGCGTCCTCACGGTTCACTTGAGGAGAGCGGGGCCCAGAGGATGAAGTGACTCTCCTGAGGTCCTGAACCCAGGACTCTGTGACCCTGGAGTCAGCGGCTGCCAACCAGGGCCTTACGTGGGGCCCAGAGTGGGTGGAATGCCCACGCTGTGCCCAGGGCATGGTAGGTGCTGGGTCAGTGGGTGGTGGCAGAGACCCAGGCTGTGTGACCCTGGGCTCTGGGTAGAGACTGGGCCAGGAACCCTCCAGCCTTCCCTTTAGACCCATGTCACATACCGAGGGCCCCATGGGGCAAGGCCGTGGCTGCTCTCAGGCAAAGGCTCTGCTGTGGGAGAAGTACTTTGTTCTGAGTGCAACAAAGGCCCTGTCAACACTAGCAGGCTCGAAGCTGCCTGGCCTGTTCGGAGCCAGAGGCCGGGCCAGGCTGGGCTGGTGTGGGATGGTAGCCCCCTCTGCCCGGTGTGGGATGGTGGCCCCCTCTGCCTGGTGTGGGATGGTAGCCCCGTCTGCCCGGTGTGGGATGGTATACCCCTCTGCCCGGTGTGGGATGGTAGCCACCTCTGCCCGGTGTGGGATGGTAGCCACCTCTGCCCTTTGCGCAGATACACTGTCTCCCAGGTGGTCTTGGCCCTGACGGTGGCAGGACAAACTCCTCTGTGTGGGAGCCACACTTCTGGGTTACAGGCCCTTTGTGACCCAGGTACCCCATCTCATCTCCCAGCTGCCCAGGGAGGTGGACAAGCAGTTGTCTTCACCTTCCTTCCACAGACAGGACACTGAGGCCCAGAGACTCCAGGGCTGGGACGTTGGACCCCTCAGTCGTTTTTCTCACATCCCACCTGCACAGGGCTTTGCAGGGGCTTCTAGGCACTGATGGGGTGTCCCCTGTGTGCCTGGCTGGTCCTGGGTCTCACGGGGGTTGCAGGCAGGGAGGGATCGGACCCTGACTCCCCACTGGTTAGGTGAGGCGGAGATGCAGCCAGGCTCCTGAGGCCTCAGCCAGAGCACCCTCTCCGGGTTGAGGGTAGCTGGGGAGACCCAGCAGGGCTTCCAGAATCGGGGAGCAGCAAGGCTGGGTCTTGAGAGGTGCAGAGCATCTCACCCCACCCTAAATAGAGCCAGGCCACTTCAGGTCAGTGCTCTGCAGAATGTGCTACCACAAGATGCCCACAACAGAAGCAGAGAGGCTTCTGTGCAGGCAAGAAACTTGGCTGTAAGCTTCCTGGCAGCCAAGGCAAAAAGGGGAATTTGTAGGGTTATGATAGGAAGAAAACACACAAGGTTATTTGTAGAGACAACCAAACTCCCAGGGAGGTGCTCAGGGAGGCCGAGTGAGCGAGGCTGGAAGCCGACTTTCTAGAACAGTGTGGTACATGAGCTTCTCAGGTCAGCCTTGTGCTCTTTGAACACCAATTTGGGCTTTCCCCTGACCCCCACTTTTTATTGTGAAATAATCTCAAACTTAAAGAAGAGGGTCAGGAATGTGCAAAGAGCTCCTGCATGCCCTTTACCCAGATGTGCCGATTGTTATCATTTTACCAGATTTGCTTTTTTAATCATTGTATTGTATATATGTATAGATACGTATTTTGTATGTATGTGTATTTTTATTGTGTCTGTGTTTGAACCATTTGAGAGTGAACTACAGGCACAATGCCTCTTTGCCCCTGAATACTTGAGTACCTGTGTTCTAAAAACGAGGGCATTCCCTTATGTAACCACAGAAGAGTTATCAAATCAGGAAACGGCACTGATGCAACTCTGTCATCTAATCCACGGACCTTACTTGCAGTTCACCAGTTGCCCCAGTATTGGTCTTTAGGCCTATTTTCGACCAATTGTCCCAATATTGCCCTTTCTACCTATTTCCCCTCAGCCCAGGATCTAATCCAAGACTGCACATGGTGTTCCTGCATTCCCATCAGTCTCTTTGGCCTCCTTTATCTGGACTAATTCCTCAGCCTTTCTTTGTTTTTTGTGGCACTGACGTTTTGAAGAACGTCCCTCAGTCTCCCACGGCTGGAGTCAGGTTGCACGCTTTTGGTGGGAGGACCACGGGTGGCCTGTGTCCTCCTCTGGCATCACCTGTCACAGCCATGCTCACTGGTTACAGGGGTGCCGGCCAGGTTCTCTCCTGTGGAGCGGCCTCAGCTGCCTTGAGGACGTCCTTGGCTTCTTCCTGAGTCTCACGCGTGGTCCAGATTGGTGAGGCTGCCCAAGCGGTGGTCACCGCTGCATGACAGATGCCCTGTGGGCGTAGCCGAGGGTCCTCGGGGCTGGAAGGGGAGGGGGCCTTTGTCGGGGGCTACCAGAACCTGGCCCTGGGCTAGGCACCTTCCATCGCTTGTCCCCAGTCCTCAACCCCAGGAGTATGGACTGTGATCCTCAAATCACAGATGGAGAAACCGAGCTCAGAGGACCTCGTGATTTGCGTGGGGACAGAAGCCACTGGGAAGGGTGGGAGTCCAGGCTTGCTTCTTTGCGAGGATATGCTTCTGGGTAAATCCTGAGCAGTGAGCTGTCTGGCCGTGGTTTTCTCTGCCACCTCTTAGGGGCTTTGTGGGGCTGAGAAGAGCAGGGCTGGCAAGGAAAAGCCCCTCAAGGCCATGTAGATGAGACAGCATGGGCCTGATGTTTAAGAGCACAATTCAGGAGGCAGGTGGACCCGAGTGCGAATCGCAGCTCTCCCCATGCCAGCTGTGTGGTCATGAGTGAGTCGCTTCCCCTCTCTGAGCTCAGTTTCCTCATCTGTAAAGTGATGACAACAACAGTACCTACCTCCGAAGGTTGTTGTGACGTTTAACACCTGGGTGGCGCTCAGCATGGTGCTGGCATCCAGGAGACTGCTGGCTGTGATGGTCTGAGCACTGGGGTCACAGAGCTTTGGGGGACCTTACAGATCACCTGGTTCAATCCAGGTCAAGGAGGGGAAGGAACGTGCCCAGAGTCACACAGTTCACGAGGAGCAGAGCTTCCCAAGGCCCAGCTCAGTGCCTCAGCTGTCCCTCACACCTGAAGACCAGAAGCACAAGGCTCAGGATCTAATCCCAGACCACACATCATTTGTGGAGAGTGACTCAGTTTACTCATATCTCACTGGCTTGTTCCCATGGTAATGGGCTCGTGGGAGAGAGCACCAACCCCAGAGATTGCAGGAACTGGGTTCAGAGACACTATAGAGCCAGTTGGTTAGGGAACGCTTCTCAGATAGGTGGATTCTGAGTTGTGGTTATTATTTGTTTGTCTGTTGACCTAAATATAGCTAGGATTTGACATCACTTAATAGGACCAAGGAAGTGATGAAAGGAAGGAAGACGGAGAGGAAGCACAGATGCCCAGTCTTCAAGATTATGTACAATTACGTGTGAACTTTACTCTGAGCTTCCTGGCAGCCAAAGTGAAAAGGGATACATGCTCAGTTATGTAGCTTTCTTTGTCCCTGTTCCTCAGGGGAAGTGGAGCTTTTCCAAGCTGTTAGCTGTAAAAGAACTTTTTCTGAGTGATGTGGTTGGCTGTGTCTGCAGAAACACGAAGTGATGGGTTTCATGAAGCTGGGTTTTGTAACTGCCCCTGTGGGCACCAGAATGGAGGGTGGAGTTCCCTGGGTGAGGGTGGCAGGCAGAGGGGACAGCCTGAGATGGTGTGTTTAGGGGAAGGGCAGGTGACAGGAGCCCTTCCCCCTCCCACGCTGACCTCGCGGGCCTGTCCCTGTCCTTTCAGTTGGGCCATGTGGTGCTCTCCCCAGTCTGGTTCCTCTACAGCCTGTTCATGAAGCTGTTCCAGCGCTCCACCCCAGCCATCACCCTAGAGAGCCCGGACATCAAGTACCCGCTGCGGCTCATCGACAAGGAGGTGAGTGTGGGGGCCCTGCAGGACTCAGAAGGGCCGCAAGGCACCCCCTCCTCCTTGTCAGCATCACAGTCCTTAGCACCTACTCTGAGCCCAGAGCATGGTACCCTCAAGGCAGGTCCTACTGTGTATCCATTTGACATGGGGAAGGCCACCAGTGAGTGGCAGAGGTGGGATTTGAGCCCAGGTTTCTCTGAGCCGCCCTCACTCTCCCACAGAAGGTCAGAGTGGAAGAGACCTTTCCTGATTTGGGGGTCCAAGCCCCCATTTAACAGCAGCCTGAGAGGAGTAGGGGTCATTCAAGTCACACTGTGAGTCAGGGGTAGAAGCACGACTCAGGCCCAGGCCTCCTGGTGCTTCCCATTAAGTTGCGTGGGGACAAGGGCTCTCCCTCCTCCTGTCCCCTGACTGCCCTGTGCCTGGCATCAGTGACCCACGGCACCTGGTGCCCAGACATCTTTGCTTCTGTGCAGAGTCCCCGGTGGTCTCTGCTGCGTGGCGCCATCTGCCCTAGCCAGGAGGCTCACCACAGCCTGTCCTTTCCAAACCTCTCATGTGATTTAAAACCTTCGTGTTGCTCCTTTGCCTTGCCGCCCAGTAAGGACTGCTTCCCTCTGTCACTCTCCTTCATCAAAGCTCCTCCCTCGCTCTATTTCTGGCCACCCTGAAGCTATCTCACGAAGAGCGTGGCAGGGGAAATTGAGTTACAGAGCAGAGAAAGTCACCTTCCCAAGGCCCTGGAACCTGGACTCCACCCAGGCCTCTGTCAGCATGCTTGGCCCATGCTCCCCATGAATTTCAGGCCTCCATGGCACAGAGCTTGTGGCTTCCTGTGACGGGGTTGTTGTTATTAGGTGCCATCAAGTCGATTCCAACTCATAGCGACCCTGTGTACAACAGAATGAAACACTGCCCAGTCCTGCGCCGTCCTCACAATTATTGTTATGCTTGAGCCCATTGTTGTAGCCACTGTGTCAATCCATCTCATTGAGGGCCTTCCTCTCTTTTGCTGACCCTCTCCTTTACCAGGCATGATGTCCTTCTGCAGGGACTGGTCCCTCCTGATAACATGTGCAAAGTATGTGAGACGAAGTCTTGCCATCCTCACTTCTAAGGGGCACTGTGGTTGTACTTTCTCCAAGACAGACTTATTCGTTCTTCTGGCCGTCCATGGTATGTTCAGTATTCTTCACCAACACCACAATTCAAAGGCATCAGTTCTTCTTCAGTCTTCCTTATTCATTGTCGAGCTTTCGCATGCATTTTAGGCGATTGAAAACACCATGGCTTGGGTCAGGCGCACTTTAGTCCTTAAAGTGACATCTTTGCTTTTTAACAGTTTAAAGAGTTCTTTTGCAGCAGATTTACCCAATGCAATGAATGGATCATCTGATTTCTTGACTGCTGCTTACATGGGCATTGATTGTGGATCCAAGCAAAATGAAATCCTTGATAACTTCGATCTTTTCTCTGTGTTTCGTGATGTTGCTTATTGGTCCAGTTGTGAGGATTTTTGTTTTCTTTATGTTGAGGTGTAATCCATACTGAAGGCTGTGGTCTTTGATCTTCGTCAGTAAGTGCTTCAAGTCCTCTTCACTTTCAGCAAGCAAGGTTGTGTCATCTGCATGTCACAGGTTGTTAATGAGTCTTCCTCCAATCCTGATGCTCCATTCTTCTTCACGTAGTCCAGCTTCTCAGATTATTTGCTCAGCATACAGATTGAATAAGTATAGTGAAAGGATACAACCCTGACACGCGTTTCCTGACTTTAAACCACATAGTATCCCCTTGTTCTGTTCGAATGGCTGCCTCTTGGTCTAAGTACAGGTTCCTCATGAACACAATTAAGTGTTCTGGAATTCTTATTTGTGATGTTATCCATAATCTGTTATGATCCACACAGTCGAATGCCTTTGCATAGTCGTTAAAACACAGGTAAACATTTTTCTGGTATTCTCTGCTTTCAGCCAGGATCCACCTGATATCAGCAATGATATCCCTTGTTCCAAGTCCTCTTCTGAATCTGGCTTGAATTTCTGGCACTTCGCCATCAGTGTACTGCTGTAACCGCTTTTGAGTGATCTTCAGCAAAATTTTACTTGCATGTGATGTTAGCGATGTTGTTCGATAATTTCCGCATTCTGTTGGCTCTCCTTTCTTTGGAGTGGGCACAAATATGAATCTCTTCCAGTCAGTTGGCCAGGTAACTGTCTTCCAAATTTCTTGGCATAGATGAGTGAGCGCTTCTAGCGCTGCATCCGTTTGTTGAAGGCAATTCAGTCAGTACTCCGTCATTCCTGGAGCCTCGTTTTTCGCCACTGCCTTCAGTGCAGCTTGGACTTCTTCCTTGAGGACCATCGGTTCTTTTTTTTTTTTTTTTCCATTGTGCTTTAAGTGAAAGTTTACAATTCCACTTAGTCTCTCATACAAAAATGGATACACACATTGCTACATAACCCTAGTTGCTCTCCTTATACTGTGATAGCACACTCCTCCTTTCCACCCTGGATTTCCCGCGTCCATTCAACCAGCTCCTGACCCTCTCTGCCTTCTCATCTCGCCTCTGGACAGGAGCTGCCCATTTAGTATGTATCTACTTGAGCTAAGAAGCACAGTCCTCACGAGTATCGTTTTATGTCCCATAGTCCAGTCTAATCTTTGTCTGAAGAGTTGGCCTCGGGAATGGGTTTAGTGCTGGATTAACAGAGTCCGGGGACCATGCTTCCTGGGGTTCCTCCAGTCTCAGTCAAACCATTAAGTCTGGTCTTTTTTACTAGAATTTGAGTTCTGCACCCCACTTTTCTCCTGTTTTGTCAGGGACTCTCTGTTGTGTTCCCTGTCAGGGCGGTCATTGGTGGTAGCCGGGCACCATCTAGTTCTTCTGGTCTCAGGCTGATGGAGTCTCTGGTTTATGTGGCTCTTTCTGTCTCTTGGGCTAATATTTTCCTTGTGTCTTTGGTGTTTTTCATTCTTCTTTGCTCCAGGTGGGTTGGGACCAATTGATGCATCTTAGATGGCTGCTCGCTAGCTTTGAAGACCCCAGACACCACTCACCAAAGTGGGATGTAGAACATTTTCTTAATAAACTTTTTTTTTATGTCAGCTGACCTAGATGTCCTGTGAAACCATGGTCCCCAGAACCCCACCACTGCTACTCTGTCCCTCAAAGTGTTTGGTTGTATTCAGGAAGCTTCTTAGCTTTGGTTTAGTCCAGTTGTGCTGATTTCCCCTGTATTGTGTGTTATCCTTCTCTTCACCTAAGATAGTTCTTGTCTACAGTCTAGTTAGTGAAGACTCCTCCCCCCTCGCCCCCATAACCATCAAAGAATGTTTTATTCTGTGTTTAAACCTTTCCTTGAGTTCTTATAATAGTGGTCTCATACAATATTTGTCCTTTTGTGACTGACTAAACTCACTCAGCATAATGCCTTCCAGATTCTTCTATAAGATGTTTCACAGATTCTTCATTGTTCTTTATCGTTGCTAGTATTCCATTGTGTGAATATACCATAATTTGTTTATCCATTTGTCTGTTGATGGGCACCTAGGTTGTTTCCATCTTTTTGCTGTCGTGAACAGTGCTGCAATGAACATGGATGTGTGTACACCTGTTTGTGTGACGGCTCTTATTTCTCTAGAATATATTCCAAGGAGTGGGATTGCTAGATCATATCAGTACTATCAGTTCTTGATCATACGCTCCCTCTGAAATGGTTGAACGTTGACCAATTCTTTTTGGTACAGTGATTCTGTGTATTCCTTCCATCTTTTGATGCTTCCTATGTCATTTAATATCTTCCCTGTAGAATCCTTCACTTTTGCAACTCAAGGCTTGAATTTTTTCTGCAGTTCTTTCAGCTTGAGAAATGCTAAGTGTGTTCTTCGCTTTTGGTTTTCTATCTCTAGGTCTTTGGACATTTCATTAAAATACTTTACTTTGTCTTCTCAAGCCACACTTTGAAATCTTCTGTTCAGCTCTTTTACTTCATTTCTTCGTTTTGCTTTAGCCATTCTGCATTCAAGAGCAACTTCCAGAGTCTCTTCTGACATCCATTTTGGTCTTTTCTTTTTTTCTTGTCTTTTTAATGACCTCTGCGTTCTTCATGTACGATGTTCTTGATGTGTGCCTGTAATTACAGCAGAGTCCACAGAGAAATTGAAAACTGAAGCAAGAAAAGATGAAAACTACCACCTCGCGAAGGAGAGCAGGCTTAACCTGTCAGCGTTTTATACCTATGCATGTGCACACACATATTTTTTCTTACAAAATTGAAATCATAATGTTTCGAAACCTATTTTTAAAAACCTTTTTCTTTCTTTTTTTAATTGCAGAAGTAATGTATGATCTCTATGTGCTTGCCGTAAGAATTCTGTCTGTGAAGTGTGAAAGCTCCCGTCACCCTCACCTTGCTGCATCCCACTGCCCTGTGCAGAGGGTCAGCATGTACCCGCCGAACCCTTTTCTAGGCATCCCATTCGTACATATGTGACGTGTGGTGGTGCCAAACAAAACAAAACAAAAAAACCCAAGCCCATTGCCTTCAAGTTGATTCCAGCTCACAGTGACCCCCACGTAACAGAGTAGAACTGCTCCATAGGGTTTTCTTGGCTCTTTGTGGCAGCAGATCACCAGGCCTTTCTTTTACGGCACTGCTGGGTGGGTTTGAACCACCACCCTGTAGGTTAGTAGTCAAACGGAAACGGTTTACACCACCCACGGACTTACAGAGGTGTACAAATGTGTGTATATCTAGTTTCTTTTTTTTTAATAACTTGATTTTTTTTTTTTTACCCAGCCATACAATGTGGATAGCTTGTTTTGTCTAAGCCCAGAACTACTTTGTCATCTTTGATGACTGTCTCGTATTTTGGCATAGGAATCCCCACAGCGGACCCTCCAGTCCCCTTTGACTGAGCATACGGATCATCCTAGAGTTTCCGCGCTCTGTAGCAAATGTCCCAGCAGTGAAATCTTCCTCCCCTACTCTGTTAGAGTGTAGTGGTGACCTTGTTGGGTCAGCCCGCAGGCTTGCTCTTGAGATTTCTGCTGTGCTCTGCCAGGTTCCAGTCGCTGGAGAAGGACATCATGCTTGGTAAAGTAGAGGGTCAGTGGAAAAGAGGAAGACCTCAATGAGATGGATTGAGACAGTAGCTGCAGCAATGGGCTCAAACACAGCAACGATAGTGAGGAGGCTGCAGGACTGGGCAGTGTTTCGTTCTGTCGTACATGGGGTTGCTGAGTCAGAACTGACTCGACAACCCACCAACATCTGCCAGACTGTGCTGTTAGAGGTTGCCCAGCCCAGTAATTATCAGTCTTTACCTCACTTTGGTTTTTCCTCCCAAAACTGCCTGGCATGTGGTTTTCTGTCAGGAGCAGTCAATAATCCTGGAATCTGCTCCCAAGAGGCCTTGGGACTCCATTTGCTAGAGAGCAAAGGCTTCCTGGAGGAGGCAGCTTTTGGGCCTGGTGGCCCCAGCCACTGTGGAACCCTGGTACCCATGTGTTCTGAGGGGTGGCCTGGGAGCCGTCATTCCTGACACAGGCCACTTCCACTGCCTGCGCACTTCAGGGCGGAGCTTCTCTGTTCCTGAGGCAGCCGCTTTGTTCTCGAACGCTTCTGAGGGTCAGAAAGTCCTGTCTTGAACTGAGCTGAGATTGGCTTCTGTGACACCCTGTCCCTTGGAGGAGTCTCTTGTTCCCCGTCTGAGTGATATCACCTCTGTCTACCTGTGGACCTTGCTATGTCACTTTGCCATGTGTGGGTGTGACCATGTGCATGCCAGCTGCCTGCTTCCCACACAGCCCTTGCATTCCCACCCCCCTGGCTGCACCTGGTGCAGGGAGACCCCTCAGGGCCTCCTGGAGCCCTGGTCAGGGTGCTAGGCACCTGGATTTGGTTCCGCTCTGACCAGAACTCGCTGTGTGAACTGGAGTGGCTCACTCGCCTTCCCGGCCTTGTCTAAGACCACTTGCCGGCAACCATGGAGCTCTAGTCTTTGCTCTGCCTGTGCCCAGCCTAGCTCTTAGACAGCCCCTACCCCACCCTGGAGTGGAAATGACTGCCACCCTCCCACCACTGACCATGCCTGGGTGCCCGCTCTGAGGTGGTCACTGCTCGGGGTCAGCCCCAGGGGCTTCCCAGGCAGTGAAGGTGGTGTGTCTCCTGCCCTGCCCAGCCAGCCTCCGTTGTGGCCGCCCACGTCTCTGGGGCGTCTAAGCACAGCATCTTCTGGACGCCCCTTTGAGGCCTGGGTTGGGGATGTGGGGCCTTGTCTCAGCTCGGGCCCCAGTTTGCCAGTCCAATCCCGAGTCCTTTCTGCCACCCCAGGCCACTCCCAAGCTGATGGCAGAGGGGCCTGACCAGGGCTCCGGGAGGCCCTGAGGAGTCTCCCTGTACCAGGTGCACCCGGGAGGGTGGGAGTGGAAAGGCTGTGTGGGAGGCAGCAGCCGGCATGCACATGGTCACACTCACACCCGTGGCAAGGTGATGTGGCTTTCCAGTGGATTCCTCCCTTCTCCTCCTGCTGGAATTCTCTGGGCCATGTGGCAGCCCCCCTCCTGGATTCTCTCTTCGCCTCACTACCTTGTATGTGGCCTGAGTGGGTCACTGCTGCGCTTGGGGCCACAAGAGCAGAGGCACTGTGCGCATGCCTGTCCTGTCTGTCTTCACACTGTGTGTAGGTGTGCGCCGGCGTGTGGTGTCGCCGTTACTTCATGAGGACACTTGGGGGCACTGGGGAGGGGCGGGGGATGAGGTCCAGTGGCCCCTGTCCAACAGCTTTGTGGCCTCTTTGCAGATCATCAACCATGACACCCGGCGGTTCCGCTTTGCCCTGCCGTCGCCCCAGCACATTCTGGGCCTGCCCATCGGTGAGTCCTGCTGGGCGCAGCCACACTGAGCCCTCGCGGGCAGCCAGTGCTACGTTGGGGTGGGAGAGCAGGGAAGGCTTCAAGGAGGAGGTGCTGCCTGGGCCTTCGAGAATGGGCTTATGAGATGAGAGCAGGAAGGGTCCGCATCCCTGGCAGGGGTACCAGCACAGCAGAGGTGTGGAGGCAGGAAACCGGGCTGTGGGTGAACTTCCCCACGGGGACGGGGCAGTGGGAGCCGAGCGAGGCCAGGCCAGGCTTTGAATGCTGGGCAGGGCGCTGGGTGAGAGGAGCCGGGGAGATGGGTTGACCAGACCCAGGGGGTGGCAGCAGGGATGACTGTTGGCCCAGAGTCAGCCTGCCCGTCCTGCTGCAGGCCAGCACATCTACGTCTCGGCGCGAATCGATGGCAACCTGGTCGTCCGGCCCTACACGCCCGTTTCCAGCGATGATGACAAGGGCTTCGTGGACCTGGTCATCAAGGTGAGGGCCCCAACTGTGCAGGGGGGTGGCGGGGGCACGGCCACAGCGGAGGCCTCCCAGGGGTCCACGTCCCTCCTGCGGCCTGGCCTCCAGAGCACAGCCCTCCTGTTTGCCTGGTTTCCTTGTCTTCAGCAGATGGTAGTTCATCAGCAAATGCCAGACCGACTGGGGAGGCATCTGGGCAGAGGGCAGAGGGCAGAGGGCAGAGGGCTGGGGTTCAGGCTGGGACTCTGCAAACAAGGACAGTTATCGATGGGAGAGGAAAGCATAGGCCGGCCAGTTTGTGCAGGGTGTCCAGCCTCCTCAGGGACAGCGCAGAGACCCTCCACGGTTGCGAGACCGGCAAGACCCTGCTTGCCCTTCAGGCCCAGCGCGGATGCCCCCTGATGCCGAGGGTGGTGGGGCAGGGCGGCAGGAGCCGCTGGCCTCCTGGCGGGGGCGTGCCCTGGCTCCGCGAGCTTGTGACGAGCCCCTCGTGGCATTGTCTGGGGAAGTGGGGCGAGGGGGCAGTCTGGGGACCACTGTGGGTGGGGGGTGCGTGCACGCACGCCGGGGAGGAGAAAATGCAGCCCGTAGAAGTGACAGACAGGGACACAGAGCAACCAGCAAGGATCTTAAAAAAACATCATGCTAAGGGGAAGAATAAGAAGCAGAATGACAGCTGTCCAGGCTACACGTTCACGAAAATGAGAAATACAAACTTTACATCTGCAGTCCGCGTTCTCTGCTAACACGTCCAATGTGAGAACAGCCCAGGCCGGTGCATGGAGGACGTCAGAGTCCCTTGCCAGCCCAGACCCCAGTGTCCTCGGGACCAGCTCTGCTGTCCTTGTTTCACTTCATGGCACAGGCCCCTGGTGCCCCATCTTAGGTGGAGGGACTGGCCATTAGGCTAGAGGTCAGAGGAGGCCCTGTTAAGGTTTGGGACTTTGCCCAAAAGCAAAGGGGAGGTGGCGAACGTTAGAGTACATGCCTGCTCTGAAGTCACTCTGGCCGGATGTGAAGAAGGTGCTGGATTCAAGGAGAGAATGAAAAGCTCACCAACGACCAGGCCCCTCCTGGCTTGAGGGTCTTGCTGACACCCTTGGCCCCTGGATAAAGTTCAAGTTCCTGGCACACAGAGCTGGGACAGTGTGCTCTGTCACTGCTCCTGCACCCTCTTGTCCCCCACAGACAAGTCCCCTGTGCCGGATCCACAACATACCCTTCTTCCCCCGAGCCCCCAGGCCCCCTTAGGCCTCCTGGCCTTTGCACACACCGTCACCCAGCTGCGTTTCCCTCTTCTGCCCATCAGACCCCTCCTTGCCCTTCAGGGCCCAGCGCAAATGGCCCCTGGGAACCCTTCCCCCACCCTGGGCAGGGCAAGCTGCTCCCTCCTCTGTAAATGATGGGCGGTAGCACTTGTTCCCAAGGCAGTAATCCCAGAGGGCACAGGAATGAATTCCAGAACCTCCTGGGGACAGTGATATTTTTAGGACAGCACAAAGCGGAAAGAACCAAAAATCCACCAGAGGGGGCGTGGCTGATGGACTTCCCAGAGCCTCCAATGGGAGGCGGTGGCCACCGGGACAGTTCTTGGCGGGATGTTTACACATGGAGGCCTCCGGTCCATTGGCCTTGTATACCAGCTGATGCTTTGCTCTTTCCAAGGGGATGTTAGGTGGAGGGCAGACTCCTAGGGGGACGGGACATGGGAAGGGGAAGTTTCGATGGGTAGATGGGGCTGAGGGAGAAGACCTCACACGGCCACTGAAGAACCCCAGAAGAGAGCTCTCCCCGGTGACCCTGGTTGACCCGGTCACCCCATGGGACAGTGGACTGAGGGTGTGTCTTGCAGGTTTACTTCAAAGACACCCATCCCAAGTTTCCTGCTGGAGGGAAGATGTCCCAGTACCTGGAAAACATGAAGATTGGAGACACCATTGAGTTCCGGGGCCCGAACGGGCTACTGGTCTACCAGGGCAAAGGTGATTTGGGTGGAATCCCCTGGGGCCCAAACAGGCGTGAATGCCGGGAGTCCTGGATTCGAGTCCTGACTGCTCCTGTCTGCATGGGTGACTCTTGCCGAGCAAGCCATCTCCTCCCTGGGGCCTCAGTCTCCCCAGCTGTGTAGGGCATAAGTAAGCCAGCACGAGGGTTGCGCACTGGCTGTCCTTGGGGACCAGAGCTGACCCACAGACCAGCTTTGGCTGACCCAGCCTCTGAAAACAAACGAGCAGAAAGATTGAGTTGGAAGGCTCAGTTCTTCTGAGTCTCCGCTGCTCCCTACTGCCATATACAGCGAGGGGCTCCTCACTTGAGTCTGCCATTGGAGTTTGAGACCCCAGGCTGCAGCCCCCTGACCCAGCCTGGTCTCCAAGGTGGTATCCTGGGGTCCCTACCTTCCACCCTCTCCCTCCCGCACCCTAAGTGGCTGGGTAGCACGGGCTGTCCTGCCTCGGACCCTCACAGTGGAGCAGCTACTCCAGCCTGTCCGACCCCCAAGGACAGCCTGTTTGAGAGCTGAGCCTCACCCCTTCTCTCCCCAGGCAAGTTTGCTATCTACCCAGACAAGAAATCCGACCCGGTCATCAAGACGGTGAAGTCTGTCGGCATGATTGCAGGAGGAACAGGTATGTGGAACCCGCCACACATTGAGTCCCTGGATGTCGCGGGTCATGGGTCAGGGTCGGGGCAGGGAGTGAGGCAGAGATTATAAGCCACTATGAGCTGGCGAGTCAGGACCAGGCCCAGTCATCCTGACATCTCTCCCCAGGCGCCTGGTCCTGGGCCTGTGTACTCAGCAGGTGCTCACTCAGCGCATGGGGGCGGCTGTTTTGCAGGCATCACCCCAATGCTGCAGGTGATCCGTGCCATCTTGAAGGACCCGGATGACCACACCGTATGCCACCTGCTCTTTGCCAACCAGGTCAGTGGGCAGACCCCACAGGGCTAATGGCTTCAGCCCAGAGGTGCCAAGGGCCTGGCACAGTACCTTTCCAAGTCTCCACGTGGCTGTACTGAGGCACTTGGGACGCTGGGATGTGAGGGGTGTTCTGGCCCAGGCGGCCTCCGCAGCAGGGGTGGGCTGGAGTCTCAGTCTCCTCAGTGCCTGGAGTGTCTGACCAGAGTGGGGTGCTTGGTGGTGGGAGCACCTGGAGCACCCTCATGCTCCCTGAGGTTCCCCCCTGCCTGCGCCCCCCACAAGCAGAGTTTGGAACCCACCAGGGAAGTGGGAAGGATGCTGCCCGGGCTTGGGCCGCCCTGAGGTGGAAGGGCTGTTGTACAGATGAGCAGCTGAGAGCAGATGGCGTCTGCACGGGTCTCTGAGCTGGCGGATATGTGGCAGGGCCTGGACCCTGGTCTCTGGCTCCTGCATTCACAACCTCTTCCCCACGCCTGCTGCCCGCCTGCCCAGGCCTGCTGTGTGGCCTTGGGCTCATCCCTTCCCTCTCTGGGCCTGGCTTGTCATCTGTAGAAGGACCCGATGAAGTGAGGGCATCGCCTGGGCCTTTCCAGGGTCAGTGTTCCGTGACTGTGAACATGTGGATTCATAAAGTAACACCCCATTTCAGGGAGGCCAAAATGAGACCGCAGTGGTGTGGGGCCATGCCCAGACCCCCTGCACCTCTCAGATGTGGTTCAGTCAGCTGTCTCCAGGATTCGTCTGCCTGAGCTCCGCTTTGTTCACACGTGAGGAAACCGAGCCCAGGGTTGGGGGCATTGCCTGAGGTCCTTGGACATGGCCCGCCCCTAGATAAGGCTCCAGTAGGGGAGAGATAAGGCTTGTGGACGGGAGAGGCCCTCTTCCCTCCCCCGCCCCCACACAGTGCAGGAAGCTGCCCAAGGCCAGCCGAGGTGGGCGTGACCAGCTCCAGGGGTGGGAAGAAAGCCAGAAATTCCAAGCTGACTGAGGGAGGCTGGCTGGGCGGGCAGCGGGCAGCCTTGGTGGTGTGCGCTCAGGTGTCATGGAGACATCAGGACTTCTCCCACCTGTACAGGTCACAGTCGGACCTGTTGGCCTGTTAACCAGGGTAGTGGGATCGCCCACCACCATCAGGGAGAGGCCGTGACCACCCATGTCTCACAGGAGAAACCAGGACCAGGGCCCCAGATGCCTCGTCTAGGGCTCCATCCCCATTGCCAGGCCAGCGTCTGGCACATGTGCCTATGAGGGGCTGACTTACCTGACTGCGCCCCTCGGACCCGTGCCCGGCGACCAGCATGCTTGTGTGGATGGGGGTGGGGGCTGGGTGTGTGGTAGCTCCTTCTGGGCCAGGCGGCAGCGAGAGGGGACACAGGAGTGGGAAGGGCCCCAGACCTGCCGGCAGCCCCACTCCCCCTCCTACCAGGGTCTGGAAGGCGAGACCTCAGTGTGGGCAGTCTGCTCCAGCAGGCTCTGGAATCCAGCTCCTGGAGCACTGCTGACTCTGGAGTCCTTGAGGTAGGGTGTGGCAGCAGAGGGAGCTGGCAGGCTCCAGTCACTGCTCCTGGGTGACAGCCACTGTGAGGTGGGGCCTCGTCACGAGCTCATAGAAGCTCCTGCTTCCTTCGTGGTGTTGCGTTGCTGTTTGGTGAGCGCTGTCGGTGAGGAGTAGGGGTTGAGCATTGGGGTAGTGAGCAGCTGGCTTCCTGGGCCTGAGGTTTTCTGTTGGGAGGAGGCCCCAGCTCTCGTCCATGGCCACCAGACGCCTTGTAGCTAGGTCGCGTGTGTGTGTGGCCTCATGTGGCACATCCCCTTGAGTTACTTCTCTGATCCCCCCAGGCCTGGAGTGAGGATGGGAGAGGCAGCGGAGGGGGGAAGGGGCTCTCCTGGGAGTTCTCCAGAGGTGGGGTCAGCACTATGGGGTTCCCAGTTTCCAGGACCCGGGCAGGGGCCAGGGAATTGACGGTGTTACCTATCCTGGAGGCTCAGCGGGCATTGCTCAGGGCCTGGCGGGCTCTCCTGGGAGGAGCCACGGGCAGCGTGGGATCCCCGTGGCCCCTTGGCCAGTGTGGACGCTTCCTCCCGCTGGGAAGAGCAGGGCTGGGAGGGGGCCTGGATACTGCCCCCGTCCATTACCAGTCTTTCTGCAGCCTAGCACAAGACAGTGGTCAGCACAGTGGTGACAGCCGCTGTCCCCTAGCAACCACGGTGCGCCAGGCCCTGTGGGCACCTCATGACCCAGCCGCACAGCAACCCTGCAGTGTAGCTACGTTTTATGAGAAGCTCAGGTCCAGAGAGGGAATGTGGCTGCCCAGGTCACACAGCCCGTGGCACAGGCCAGACAGGACCTTCCTCGGGAGGACGGAGGCCCTGCCTGTCCCAGGCCTGCTGGCCTTGCCCACCAGGACCTGTTTCCTCCAGACAGAATGGTGGGTGGTCCGTTCCTGTCTCCTGCTTCTCTTTCTCCAGTGTTTCTCAGACATTGTGGCCTCAGGACCCTCTTTTTATACTATAAAAAAAGTATTGAGGACCCCAAAGAGCTTTTGTCTTTGTGGGTTATAACTATCGATATTTATCACATTAGGAATTAAAAGTGAGATACTTTGAAGATATCTGTTCATTTAAAAATGACACGAATAAACCTACTACGTATAAATAATAAACAGCGTAATTGTATGAAGAGCAGCCGCAGTTTGGAAAGCATTGCTTCGGTTGGCAGTTCTGTAAACCTGTGTAGCATCTGGCTTCTGTGCCTCTGTTCAGTCTGTGCGAAGTCACAGGTCACGGCGTCTCCAGGTCGGCCCATGGTATACGCATGCGTGAATGAGAGTGGAGATGCAAATAACATCTTAGTGATGGTGTCGGATCGGTTCTGACCTCATGGACCCTCTGAAGGGTCTTAGGGACCCCAGGTGCCCAGGCCGCACTCTGAGAACTGCTGCTGTACTCCCGTCGGGTCATCGAGTCCCCCTCCTTCCTCGGCGTCCCCCCGCTTCGTTGGCATCCCCCTCTTCCTCGGCGTCCCCTTCCTTCCTTGGCATCTGCCTCCTTCCTCAGCATCTGCTTCCTTCCTCAGGGTCCCCCCTCCTTCCTCAGCATCCCCCCTCCTTCCTCAGCATCCCCCCTCCTTTCTCGGCGTCCCCCCTCCTTCCTCAGCATCGCCCTTCCTTCCTCAGCATCCCCCCTCCTTCCTCAGCATCCCCTCTCCTTTCTCAGCGTCCCCCCTCCTTCCTCAGCATCCCCCCTCCTTTCTCGGCATCCCCCCTCCTTCCTCGGCATTGCCCTTCCTTCCTCAGCATCCTCTCTCCTTTCTCAGCGTCTCCCCTCCTTCCTCGGCATCGCCCCTCCTTCCTCAGCATCCTCCCTCCTTTCTTAGCATCCCCCCCCTTTCTCGGCATCCCCCCTCCTTCCTCAGCATCGCCCTTCCTTCCTCAGCATCCTC